CCCCACCCCGTGCGCACATGCGTAAGGGACAGCTCCCCAGGGGCCGTCCCCGTGACCGCGCCTGCGCACTGACGCCCCGCGGCTCCTAGGAGGCGCTCTGTCTTCCTTTGAGCCCGCCAGGCTTCCGTAGCCCACCGGGCACCTTACCAGTCGTGTCTGCGCACGGTTCGTGTCAGCCGCGCACTGTCACGTAGGTCCACAGGCGCTAAGGCACCTCGAGCAGCAGGTCACGGGAAGGGCCTGCGGGTCACAGCTCAACACGGCAGGAGCCGGGGTGTAGCTCCGTGGTTTACCGTCAGCCAGGGGTGGAACAGACTCAGAAGCCAGAGAACCCCAACTCTCGTGTGCAAGAGAGGCCTGGCCGTCTTTGGATCCCCAAGACCCCTTCCAGCAAGGGGTCCCCGCGGCAGGCCTTGCCTGGCGGCTGGCTGCTGAACCCCCTGCGACCTCTTCTCCAGAATCTTCCCCTCCACGGCCCCACCCCAAGCTGCAGGCGGGGTGCCCGTCCGCTCACGGGACCTGCCTCCTCCTGCTCCCCCAGCCACCCCCAATCTGTGCCTGAAGAAACCATCCACAGAGCTCGCTCAGACTGCATTCCCCCAGCACCACGTCTCCCCAGAGCCAGGCCGGCCCGTCCCTAGGGAAGCAGGGCTCTAACAGCAACCAAACCCCACTGGGGAATACCCCAGAAATGTGCAGCCTCGGTGGGTGCTGGCCTTCAGAGGTGGTTAGGTTTGAGTACTCGGCTCTGTTGTTACTCCATTTGTGCACACAAAAAAAACAAAATCAAGATATCTTAGTGCAAATCAGTAGAGTTTTGGTACAGGTTAAAATGGTTAAAAAGAGACTCATTAATAAGATCGTGTTACCTCCGTGTGATACTTTGAAGTAACATAAATTCATTATCTTACAGTTCTGGAGCTCAACATTCTTTTTTTTTTTTTTTGCTGGACGTGGGACCTGAACTCTGGACCTAGGCACTGTCCCTCAGCTCTTCAGCTCAAGGCTAGCGCTCTACCACTTGAGCCACAGCGCCACTTCCAGCTTTTTCTGCTTATGTGGTGCTGAGGAATCGAACCCAGGACCTCATGCATTCAAGGCAAGCACTCTGCCACTGAGCCACCTTCCCAGCCCAAGGAGCTCAAAAACTTTTTTTGGGTCCGGTCGTGGGGCCTAAACTCTGGGCCTGGGCGCTGTCCCTCAACTCTTCAGCTCAAGGCTAGCACTCTACCACTTGAGCCACAGCACCACTTCCAGCTTTTTTCTTTTTGCTTATGTGGTGCTGAGGAATCGAACCCAGGGCCTCAGGCATGCAAGGCAAGCGCTCTACCACTGAGCCACCTTCTCAGCCCAGGAGCTCAAAATTCTGAAGTACATCTGACTGGCTAAGAATAAAAGCGTTGGCAGGGTTGCTTCCTTCTACAATCTCTTGCATTTTCTAGCCTTCACAGGCTGCCAGCATCCCTAGTCTTCTAGGCTTGTTCTATCTTGAAAGCCAGCGCCACTGCACTCTGGCCTGTTTCCATTGCCTCATCTCCTCTACCCTCTCTTTCCCACTATCAGGACCGGTGATTACATTAGATCTATATAAATAAGCCAAGATAACCTCCCCATTCACTTTTCATAGCTCCCATAGTAAAGGCCCTGGGCTGATTCCCCAGCAGCGTGCGCGTGCACACACACGCACATACACACACTTATCTGTGCAAAGTCCTTTTTTCAGGGCTGGGAAGTTGGCTCAGTGGTAGAGCGCTTGCCTCACATGCATCGATTCCTTAGCACCACCTAAGCAGAAAAAGCCAGAAGTGGTGATGTGGCTCAAGTGGTGGAGCACTAGCCTTGATCTGAAGAGCTGAGGGACAGTGCATAGGCCCAGAATTCAGGACCAATGACCAAAAAAAAAAAAGCCCTTTTTGCAGGTGATGTAACATATTCACAAGTTCTGTGGATTCAAATGTGGACTTTGGGAGGAGACATTATTCTGCCTACCAAAAAGACATTGGGAAAATAAACTAAGATGATTGTGACGCAATTGGAAAAAACCAAAGTATCAATAAATGATAACATGCTCCAGAAGTCAGGCTGAGACCAGCATCTTGCCTCAGCTTCTCCAGGGATCTCATGACATCAGCTCCTAACCCATCTTTTAGGACTGTAGAGTCAACTGTTCACAGAAACAGCCAAAAGCTAGGGAGGGTCTTCAAAAGGGAAAATGTCTCTACCTGGCCCCTGGGTACTAGATTTATGATGCTGACACAAAGAAAAGGCATTTTAGAACTCAGAGTTAAAGACCAATACAGCTTATTAGTAAAGCAATGGAAAGACTAGTACACAGGCAGCTAAGGGTGTGGGCACACATGATGAGAGTGAGCTAACTACTGTATCAGCACTGGTATTTGTGACAAGTATCAGTCCGGACACCTGGTAGGTTCAACTCAATAACAGCTGTGACAATGTTGGGACCTTGTCAGTCTGGCCCAGAGATATCAAGCCATTGTGATGCAGAGGTCTGCTCTACTTGAGCATCCTTTTAAACAAAAGATGTGTGTCATGGAATGCCCCTTCTAAGCCCTGTGTCCTTCCTTAAAATAAATAGACTTTGAAACTATGCTGAGCCACACAGCTAAGCCTTGTCTCATAGAAAGTAAGGAAGGGAGGAAAGAATTAAGAGGGAGGGGAGCCGGGCGCTGGTGGCTCATGCCTGTAATCCTAGCTACTCAGGAGGCTGAGATCTGAGGATCACGGTTCAAAGCCAGCCCGGGCAGGAGAGACCGTGAGACTCCTATCTCCAATAAACCACCAGAAAACCGGAAGTGGCGCTGTAGCTCAAGTGGTAGAACGCTTGCCTTGAGCTGAAGAGCTGAGGGACAGCGCCCAGGCCCAGAATTCAAGCCCAACGACCGACCAAAAAAAAAAAAAAGAGGGAGGGGAGCAGGGGAGGGAGAAAAGAAAAGGTGTGGTTTGGGGGACATCCCAGCAGAATCCAATAATCTGGAAGATGCTAATGTGGGAGATAACCCATTTTCTTTTCTTTTGGGGGGGTCCGGTCGTGAGGCCTGAACTCGGCCTGGGCGCTGTCCCTCAGCTCTTCGGCTCAAGGCTAGCGCTTTACCACTTGAGCCACCATGCCACTTCCGGCTTTTTTCTTTTTGCTTATGTGGTGCTGAGGAATCGAACCCAGGGCCTCAGGTATGCAAGGCAAGCACTCTACCACTGAGCCACCTTCCCAGCCCCCCCCCCCATTTTCTAATTGTTTGTAATGATTTAGGTTGCTGATGCTCAAAGCCAAATATTTCTGCTCTCTGACATACAAACCACCAGTCTTACCAGATTCTTTCCATCAAAAACTATCCGAAATCTCCTCACCACCAGTAGTTTCCATCCCCACCATCAATATCTCAGTCATTCATCACCTAAGTACTGTGACACAGCCCAGCTCGTCTCCTGTGCCCAACAGCCACACCCACATCGCTCAGAGTCCACATCAACCACACATTCCCCACCTACAACCCTGCAGTGTGTCTTCTACCCTACACATGCCAGGTGGTGTTTCCTTCTCTAACCACAGCACATACCATTCTTGACCACATTTCTACTCTTCAATTACACAGAGATCACCGCCAACTTGACCCCTTTGTACTAGCTCCTGTCTCTGCCCAGCATCTGCCTCTGAAACTCCCAAAGGCCCAGTTGTCCTCAACCTCTCACTGCCTGCCTTCGTCCAAAGCCTCCCCTGGCCTGCCTTTCCCACATCTGTAATGTGTGACATGCCTTCTTCCTAGAGCTTCTGGTTTGGTTATTTGCTGCCTGTCACCTCATGCCATAGCACAAACCCTTCGAGGGTAGGCAGCTCCCCCGCCCCTCCTGGTCCTCGTCCTCCTCCTCATTCTCATTATGGCACTGGGGCTCTTATGGCCAATTAGCCAGCAAAAAGCCAGAAATAGATGCACAGAACAAAATGTAGAGTGCCTGTTTAAAGGACAAAGTCCAGGCCCTGAGTTCAGGCCCTAGAACCAGCACACATGTGTGCGTGTGCACTCACATGCACACACACACACACACACACATATACACACACACACAAAACTGGCATTGTACCACTTGAGCTTCATCTCCACTTCCAGCTTTCACTGGGCTGCTTTGAACTGGGATCTCAAGCTTCTTGAGTAGTTAGGTCTACAGGCATGAACCACAGTCACCAAACTCCAGTCTTCCTTAAAACCACTTTGTCAAGGTATGATCGACACATAAAAAGCAGTACATAGTTTATACAGAGAAGTCAATGACTTTGTGAGCAATTGTGCATCCATAGAACCATTATCACCATAAGCATAAATATGTCCCTCGCCTGCCTCCTACAGGTACATCATTTCCTGTTTATTGCTGTGGTTGTTATTTCATAGTAAGAACACAACATATTAGCCCTTCTCTCCAAGCCAATGTTCAGTACATTTATGTTCCTGCAGGCACAGTCCTACAGAGTCTATCTCCAGAACTTGGTAAGCTCCCAAAGGTGAAAGTTCATACCCTATAACCATCAACCCTACCCCCAGCCCCTGGCAACCAATTAATCCAGTCTCTGCTGTCATGCATTTCACTACTTTAGGTTCCACATACAAGTGTGATATTACAGGATTTGTCATCCCATCACACGACATATTTTACATCGTGTAACTTCCTGCAGGTCTGTCCATATTGCCACAAATGGCAAGATTTGGGGTCTGGGAAAGTAGCTCAGTGGTAGAGTGCTTGCCTTGCATGCATGATGCCCTGGGTTTGATTCCTCAGCACCACATAAGCAGAAAAAGCCAGAAGTGGCGCTATGACTCAAGTGGTAGAGTGCTAGTCTTGAAGAGCTG